ACAGCGTCAACTGGACTAGTGTAGATAATAATGTCAAGCTGGACGCCCAAGGCACAACACTCATGCGTGACACCTAAGGTGCGACGCCCCTGGCCACGACCTTTCTGGGCGCGATGCCCCTGGCCACAACGCCTCTTGGTTGCAACACCACCTTGGCGCGTGTAGATAATAATGTCATGCATGACGCCCAAGGCACAACACTCATGCGCAACACCTAAGGTGCAACGCTCTTGGCCGCGACCCCCCTAGGTGTGACGCCCCCTGGCCGCGATGCTCTCAAGCACAACAACGCAACAGGGGTGACATACATCTCCATCGCATTGGAAGTGGAAAAATGGACCCTTCACCAAGGGTGGACAAAAATGGAATCGCAGAAGTATGAGGCAACCTCGCACGTGACGTCCCTTGACATGACACCCTCTAGGTGCGACGCCCCCTTGGTGCGACGCCCTCTAGGCTCGATGCCCCTAGACACGACGCCCCCTTGGCACGACGCTCTCAGGCACAACATCACAACAGGGTGAGATACGTCTCCATCGCATTGGGCATGACAAAATGGAACTTTCACTAAGGTTGGACAGAAATGGAATCGCAGAAGTGTGGGGGCAACTTCAGCGAGACTCGTCTCTCCCGCTGCGGGAATGGTATCCTCAACTTATTGAATGTCGTTGCTCGACTAGCTCACTGGATTAAGAGGTGTCCCCACCTAGGGATAAGGGAGTATGACCCTTCTCAAGGGAGAATTGAGCAATAGGGGCGGATGAGCACGGTTGTCAACCTCGACTTGGGGCAAGGTCTTGAAGGTTTAGTTTGCTCGAGCAGGCCTCACAGTGTAGGACTCATTGTCCACTGGGATGTGCTTGACTAAGATTCGGAGAGACTCATAAGGTAACTGGGGGTTATTGGTCTAGATCAACATATGGGATGATGAGACATGTGGATTGGTGGCTAAAGGACCAAAACTATGTGAATTTCTTCTATCAGGTTCCTCGACAAAAGTCTCCAAGAAGGGTCTAGAAAGGAAAAGAAAGACCCCAGGTAAGAGCGCAATGGGGGCATCGCGGGCATGGCCTTCTCGCGGTTATGGTCCCACGATGACTAGTCGCGATCATGGACCTTTGGAGCCTTCTCTCACCTTGGCTGTCATATTTCCTCAGGGATACGTCTAGGTTGCGTTTGAAAAAAATATCACATTTGCCTAGTTAATGGTAGGGCGTATGGCTCGTCGTTAACAACCATTGGTATCGTCGCGGTTGAGACAATTATGGGTTAGCGCGAGTGGTAGGGGGTCGCGACAGGCAGCCCTTTGGGCAGTTTGACATGTCTGAGCACTGTGCTATAAATACCCACATTACTTGTCCACTGCAGAGGATGATTTTTGGCTGGTGAGAGCATTTTTCACCTACCCCCTACCCAACTGGTTCGTCCCATTCGTTAATAGGCAGCTCGAGTTCCTTCCATCCCATCCACTTATCCTACTCACCCCCTTCGATTACACTTGGCATAGACACGTGTGTTAACCTCGTGTAACTCATCTCCTTCATTGTTTTGGTGATTCCACTGGGGAGATTTGTCCTTGCTAGCCTATGCCTATTATAACTCGAAGTGGAAGAGTATTGTCTAATACAATGACTGAAAACAACAACGACAAGGAAGACGAGTAGCAGAAAAGCCCACCCCAGCGCGAGGATAGCCATGGTTCCTCTACGAGTTGAAGGGCTCTAGAGGTGTCAGGGGCCTCCGCAATGGTACAGGCTCTGAACGACATGCCAACTCTGCAACAACAGATGGCTGTGATAATACAGATGATTCAAGCTCAGATGTATTTTCGGCCGCCTGGCTTATCACTTGGTTTGCAAAACCTACAAATGTTCTTGCCAATGCTCCCGTAGTACCCAGTGCTACCACCTTCAACTTTGCCCACATCTCCTCCAGTGGAATTATCGGGCAATAATGGTGTACCACGAAAGTTAAGCTTTTATGGTTTAACTTTGCAAAATTCTACCAGTGAACCCCTACCACTTCCACTGCAAATTGATGCAACTAACCCCCTAGTTCCCTCGCAGAAAACTACCACAGACAACCTTCTAGCACGTTTGCAACAAACTACTACTACGAGATCTCTAACTCCCCTACAACAAGCAACTACAACGGGCCCTCAAAATGTCATAACACCTGAGGTGCCCACTATGACTAGACCCGTAATCACGACTGGTGCACCTCTTTTAAATTTTCCTACGGCTCTCGGATGTGAGCACGCTGTGACTGACTATAACTATGGCCTTACAACTTCCCAAATGGCTCTTCTCACCATCTCTACAACAACACTGACAACTACCCAAGTGTGGGGTCAAACTATTTTTTCCACTGCTCCCGCAACCATGCCTTCAGTATTTTCGGCCCCCATCGCGACCACCTCGTTTCCACCAACAGCTGCTTGGATGCTGCACTCGACTAGCATAGAACGGCCAGTGCCTAGTGCTGGGTTTGTTACACTGGCCTAAGTACATGCCTTACTGAGAGACAGAAAGAGCCCATGCAAACAACCATGGACATAAGGTCCAAGTTTACTCCCGCTGTGTAACAAGCTATATATCCTGCAGGGTACTCACCGCCAAATTTGAGAAGTTCGATGGAAAAAATGGCAACCCCAAGGAGCACATTATCTGCTATCTTGATAGCCTTGGCCATTATGTGCTTCACAAGCCTCTTCGGATGAGGGAAATTTTCAAGTCCCTCAAGGACAGGGCCTTCACCTGGTATGCTAACCTCCCGGTAGAATCGGTGAGGGATTGGGACAATTTGGTCGCACAATTCTATGCAAATTTTTTCATGTCGAGTAGTGTACTACAATACCTTTCCTGACAAGACTATTCAGGATGACGAAGAAGCCCTATTGACATAGATTGACAAGTTCTGTGACAAAGCCATCGAGTGCCAAGAAAATGTCACCGAGGCGACCCTTGTCCAAATTTGCATCGACAGAATGCACAACAAATACAAGGCATACTTGATGAACAGTGACTTTAAAACCTTTACTAGGCTTTGCGAATCTGCTCAAAGACTTTCGAAGGTGGCCCAGCCCTCCCTGAAGATAGCCAGTTGGATGGACAAAAGGAAAGGAGCAACTTTTGTAGTTGCTGAGGAGGTCGCAAGGGGGTCCAGCATCCAAAGAAGCGAGGGAGAGCCTCCAAGCCCGAGGAGCCACCTTCGTATCCTTGTGGTATGAAGGAAGTCCGACAGATTCTCATGGAATGGATTAAAAACGATAATGTCAGGCTACCACAAGTGAAAAAAGAGCCTACTAGAGAAGAAAAAAATAGCCCGACTTTCTGTGAATTTCATCGCCACACCAAACACAACCTTAAGGATTGCTGGACCGTGCGCCAACTATTTCAGAAGCGCTCAAAGAGTGGAGAGTTGGTACTGACGAGCGCCGGGGGCAATGTCCATGATCGACTCCTCATAGACCACAAAGAAGGTGAGAAGGTGCACATGGTGTCGTGATGGTAAGTCTCGCAGTGGTACTAGTGTTGCGCCTGTGGGTCATGCGACTTATGGGACAAACCTCAACTTGCCGAAGGTGATTAGCCTAACAAGTCTTTGTGGTCACAATCATTAGGTACCTTAAAAAAATCAGTTGAGGAAGTATGTTCAGGTTCATAAGATATTTGGTGTCGCAACTATGTACCATGTTTTCCTTGAATTTAGAAGTATATCAATAGTTGAACTCCATTTTATAATTTGAACCATTAGCAAAGAATCAATGTGAGCCGACCCCAAGGCCAGCGAAGGGACCTTGTTATATGAAGACCATTGCAGAGACCTTATTATTGTTCCTTGAAAAGATGAACATGTCATGTAATCTCCGCGGTCACGACATAAGTAGTTCATCAAAATGCATGCCAATAATAAGAGTGGGGACTATTTGCAAATAATAAAAACTTTATGCATTTCATTTATAGGCATATTCTGATCGAAGGGCCAACTATGCAATGAATTTTCTTAGATTGGTATGGCAACCCACTTGAACTATTGGTCAAACCAACGGTCACACGAACGACTAGATATTTCTTGCCATACTTTTCAAAATCTAGATGATGTTTTCTCTACAATAAAGGGACCAATTTCATGGCTTTCCCACAGAAAATTATTGAGTCAAAGAGAGTTTCGCGAGTTACGGAAAGACTCACTAGGTAGTGCAGACCACGAAGGGTTAGTGTGAAAGAAAAGCTCGGAGAACGGGCCCGAAGAAAAAAAGCAAGTTGAAAAACCCTCGCGGGAGGTGGCCCCAAAGAGATATATCCGTCGTCTCTAACTAGTTATGATGGTATGGGGGGACCACTTACGAGGCCGGGAGAGTGAGTCCCCGAGACGAGGTGCATGAAGCAAAGGCCAACATCACCGCGACACCCACTAATGCAGTCCCTGTACCAGAATATATGGAGGATCGCCCTAAGCCACAGGAGCAAGAGCTCAAGGAAGTAAATCTCACCCCACTTGGGGAATCACCGCTCAATGATAGTTAAGGTTTTCTATTTGATACAAGGATAAAGAGATACACCTAAAAAAATTTGCACATGGACAAAAATACACAAGTCATTGCGACCATTATGCATGCAAAGCCCATCAAAAGAAAGTCCATGAATGTAGGGGCAACTAACCACGATAACATTGTTGGCAATAGAGAAATGACGGCAGAAGACTTGGGCCAATTTTACGAAAAAATTTTAGTCATCAGCATCACGGTTAGATAGTTGCAGTCAAACGACAAGTGAGGACCGAAAATGGTGCGCGCGCGCAGGATGCTTCCCGCTACCTGGTGCGCGCAGGGACAAATGTAGTACTCAAAAAACTTCAAGACACATGTCGCCACCATAACAGGACAAGTGGCAATGATTATCATTTGACATGAAAATGGGGTCTAATAGAGTTCAGCTGGATTGGTATAAATAACAGTGACAAGTGCGGCATCCTTGGGTGTAACGCCCTGACAGCACCAACTGGACAAGTGTAAATAATAATGTCAGGCGTGACGTCCAAGGCACAACACTCATGCGCAACACCAAAGGCCCGATGCCCTCGGCCGTGACCTCTTCTAGGTGCGACGCCCTTGGCTGCGACACCCCCTTGGCGTGACGTCCCCTGGGCGCGAGTAGATAACAATGTCATGCATAACACCCAAGGCACAACACTCATGCATAACACCTAAGGTGCAACGCCCCTAGCTGCGACACTCTCAGGCACAGCAACACAACAGGGCGACATACATCCCCATCGCATTGGAAGTGAAAAAGTGGACCCTTCACCAAGGGTGAACAAAAGTGGAATAGCAGAAGTATGGGGCAACTTCGGCATGACTCCCTATGGGTGCGACGCCCTCTAGCGCGATGCCCCTGGGTGCGACGCCCCTTGGCACAATGCCCTCGAGGCGCGATGCCCCTGGGCGTGACGTCCGTTGGACGCAAAGCCCACGCGACACCTCCTTGGAGCGTCGTTCTCATGCACAACATCACACCAGGGCGAGATACGTCTCTATCGTATTGGACGTAACAAAATGGATCTTTTACCAAGGTTGGATAGAAATGGAATCGCAGAAGTGTGGGGGCAACCTCGGCGAGGCTCGCCTCTCCCATTGCAGGAATGATATTCTCAACCTATCGAATGTCTTTGCTTGATTGGCCCACTGGACTAAGAGGTGTCCTTACCTAGGGACAAGGGAGTATGACCCTTCTCAAGAGAGAATTGAGTAATAAGGGCGGATGAGCATGACTGTTAACCTCGGCCTGGGACAGGGTCTTGAAGGTTTAGTCTGCTCGAGCAGGCTTCCCAGTGTATGGCTCATTGCCCACTAGGATGTGCTTGGCTGGGATTCGAAGAGACTCCTAAGGTAACTGAGAGTTATTGGTTTGGATTAGCATATAGGATGATAAAACATGTGGATTGGTGGCTGAAAGACCAAAAATATGTGGGTTTCCTTTATTGGGAACCTCGACAAAAGTATCGACGAAAGGTCTAGAAAGGGAAAGAAGGACCCTGGGTTAGAGAGCGATGGGGGCATTGTGGGCATGGTCTTCTCAAGTTCACGGTCCCACGGTGACCAGTCGCGATCATGGACCTTAGGAGTCTTCTCTCACTTTGACTGTCACACCTTCCTCGGGGACACGTCCAGGTTGCGTTTGGAAAAATATCACATCTGCCTAATTAATGTTGGGACGTATGTCTTATCGTTAATGACCATTGGTATTGTTGCAGTCAAGGCAGTTATGGGTTAGCGCGAGTGGTAGGGGGTCGCGGTGGGCAGTCCAAGCACTGTGCTATAAATACCTACATTACTTGTCCAATACAGATGATGATTTCTGACTGGTGAGAGCATTTTTCACCTACCGTCTGCCCAACTGGTTCGTCACTTCGTTAACAAGCAACTCAAGTTTTTCCATCTCATCCACTTATCCTACTCACCCCCCTTCGATTATACTTGACATAGACCCGTGTGTCAACCTCTTTAACTCTCAACCTATAATGAACAATAAATAAGATAACTAATGGCAAAACAGTAAATATGAGCAAATGCACGGATATATAGTGGTTCGATCTGAGTAACCTACTCCACTCTCGGGAGAAGGCAGCGGTGCTGGGAGGCTTTATTGATGAATAAATTAATCGAGAGAGAGCTCCATGAGAGTTACACTAGTTCGGAGAGATAAGCTATGTAAATAGGGAGGTGCAAAGAGGCAAAGTTCAATGTGTAAAGATATGTGTTGGAAGAGATAGATGTCTCTCCATGTGGAGAGAGCTTACAATATATAGGTTTGGTGAGGCGGTGAGGTGAGTGAGAGATCACTACTTCTTTGGTAAGTACAATTAAGGTAGGATTGGTCTTTATGAGTGCATATCCCGATAATCTTTCTTCCACGTGCTCTTATTTTTCTGGGCTCCTTGGATCTTGGACTGGGTCGGATTGATAAAGTGGGATTGGGCTATCTTTTAACTGACTTAGGCTTGGTGGATTTATTGGGCCTAACCTGGTTGGATTTGAGCTCATCAGATACAATGTAATATGAATGATTTTGAGAGAGATATTAGTGACTGTCAAATGAGTTTTAAATAAACTGGGCTTATTGAAAACTATCATGTTTTATATTACAAATTGTGTCTCAATAAAATCCTGACATAATTAATTCATCCCCATTTTTTTTTGAAAAATAAAAAATTAATTACGATGTAGATCTGATTGTCCCCCAACAAATGTGAAAAAACAATGTGGAATTGTATAACGATGTGGCATAAAATAGTAGCACTAATTACCACTTGATCTAACTAGCAAAAAAAAAATTACCACTTGATTTTGCCACGACTCGCTCTCATATGAGATCGGGTGTTCGAGCTTCTTTGGAAGCATGAGAGTAGGGCTCTTCTAAATTTTGCCCATCCGACCCATTCTGCATCTTTTTCACATGACCTTACCCGATTATTGGAATTTCATAAAATTTCGGCCTGCTAATGAAAAAAATTTTAGTATTCTATAAAACCATGGGTAAGAATGCGAGAATACCCATAAAAATTATGCATACTTATTCCTAATTTTTTTTAAATAATAAATTTGGTATTAAACAACGTCATTTTATTTGCTCATATTATTGGATTTATTGTGTTAATTTATATGTTCTTATATTATATTTTAATAGTCTAATTGTAAAAGTAGCTCAAAAAATTTGGTAAATGAGTTGTTAAAATAACCCAAAAATTAATAACTTTTAGAAATTGAAAATATGTGAGATATTCTGCATTCTTATCCGATTTTTGAATTAATTTTTTTAAACAAAATTCGACTTGAAATATTACCCTCAATCGAGTATAATTGGCCAAAAAATTAATCTTCTGCAATTCATTGATACTGAAGATGAACACAATTTAGTAACTTTGTATTTTTTGTATTAGTAGGTCGATTAACTTTCGAGTTACGGAATCTAACAATGAGTGTCTCATTCCAAATTAAGGAAGACAAATCTCCCACATACTTCTATAATAAACATGAAAGCCCCACAACACCCTCTCATTTATTTTGAAAGGGATTTGACGAGGAGTTCATATCATACATTCCTTGGCTTTGGAAGAAGCCAAATTTAATGACCTCTTTGGTCCATATTCTATAGAAAAGGAGATTTAAATTTACTTTCCATTTTAAAACTTCAAACTCAATGCCAAAATCAAACATATTTCATTTTCATAGTTCAGTTCCAAACTCGTTTAAGATAAAAAAAATTGATCCGAAATCTCACCCTAACCAGTAACTCATTTAAAATGAATTTTACATATTATATGTATATTTCAACTCAATATCACAATATAATTACTTAATTATATCATATACCAATCTAAATAACTGATCACAATCGACTCAGATATTAATATCTCTAAGTCTGAATTTACGAAATATAATTAATATCTCTAACTGCGAATTAAAAACCTATGGAGGAGGACCATTGTTGCAGATCTCATAGCTCAAAATCACTAAAATGAATGAGTAGGGGCCATAGGACATGATGACAATATATCATCATGGGACCCTTGAGATTGATGGTCCAAATTGTCTTAAGCTACATGAACAATGAAAAGATAAGATGGGTTTTGTATTGTCTATACAATATACAAGGACAACGCTCTAAAATAAATGGTGCAACCACAGCTTTCAAAGACATTCTGCTCCACAGATTCAAGAAAATGCACATCTAATTTAAATATTCCCAGTAGCAATGTACGAAGCTCTCGCCTATAGTATTGTCTTGAGGGAAAAAAAATTTGGTGAGTAGCCTTAATTCTATTCTGAAAGATTTCACATGCTAAACGCTAGGTTCAAGGTGGACATAAATCATAAACTATTCCAAATAAAGTCCGAGCCACCCAATGATTTTAAGTCAACATGGCATAGCATGTGAGGCCTATATGGTAAAAAATCTCAAGTTCGATACAACTCATACTTTTTAAAGATCAGTCATTCTTGTTCTTTCGTGCACATATTTTTTAACTAACTTGAATTATGGTGGTCGATTTAGAACTTGAGGTAATAGTTGACACAAACCCGAATACTCTATAGCAACAAAAAAAAAATGACTAGACAAAAGGATTGTCTTAAAGAGTTGTGATGTCCCTTTGACAAAAGGCACATAATTAATACTAGTCTTACAAAATTCATATATTAAATTTCTCGTCCCAAATGATGTGTTGCATTTATGTCCATAGGTGAGTGCAACACATCATTTAGGATAAAAAAGATTAGTGTAAAAATTTGTTAATAGAAATATTACTCTCACTATAATTCCCTCCATCTCTCCTCCCATAAGATCAAAAATCCTCTACCCCGAAAGACAATCATCGTTGTGAATCTTAGTTTAAGCTATTCTTAACCATTGATCGACTGCAGTAATTAAGAAGTAAAACAATAAATAGTAAACATTTTCATAATAATAAGGAGGTATTCCATCAAAAAATTATTTTTTCTGTACTGCAGCGTGAGACGTGATTATATCTCTACATCACCATGGAAATCAAAGGGTACATCAATTGACAAGGAGTGTCTAGTGAAGGTACCCTGTCATATTAAGAAGTGGGGTGGAGTGGGAAGGATGAGGGTCCATGTGTGCTGGCTGCCTAGGAACAAACCCATTTGTAGACAAATATGCCTCCAAAGACTAACCACAGTAGCCATTAGTTGAAGGAAGAACAAAATACATCAAATCTCTACCAAGCAATCCCCACCCCACTTTATTATCCATGATCACAGGCAATAACACATGGTTTGCTGCTTAATTTATCCCTACCCACCTTCCTAATCAACATTATTTTAATGGGTATTCCTTTGTGCAAGCTCATGGTTTCAACTAATTAGTACTCTTTTACATTATAGAATAAAATACATTTTTAGTTCGTATAATATGTACTTTCTATTTATTATTTTGGTCTCTATTTTTCGCAATTGGATCATTTAGGCACAAATTAAATCGAGACACGCATATTATTTTGTGTGATGTATACATGGCATGTGTGACCCTTTCTATTAGGAATTTTGAGGATCATTTAAATTCGAATCAGAAATTTTTGGATGTAAAGGAATCGATAGACTTAAGGGTGTTAATCGACACGAGCTACTCAGACTCTGCTTAGATAGGACTCAGTTCGAGTTCAACTCGTGTTTTAAATGAGTTGATTTTGAACAAATTTTTAGGCTTAATTAGAAAAGCAAGCCTAAAAGACTAGGTTCGACTTCGCAAAATTTGGTTTGGTTATATGTAAAATAATTGAGTTATTCGGGCTTGCCTTAGGTTCGACCCGGACTCGGACTCGACTTATTTTTTAAACAACCAAATTTGAATAATTTTTTAGGTCTATTTCGAAAAACAAGCTCAGGTTTAAACTCACAAAACTCAACTCGATTAATACTCCTATCGAAGTTGAGGGATAAATTTACCTTTCATGTATACGTTAAAAATTAAAAGTGTGGGGTCATTTTCCAATGATCGATAGAACTATTTAGTCGTACATCAAAACTCTAGGGTCTAAAGTGAGATAATTAAAACAATAGAGATTAAAGTGTGACATAATGTATACTTTGAGGCTGATTAATATATTTTCCCCAACCTTATATATTGTACACTTCTTTAGCATCCTAACTAAACAAACTCGCCAAACAAGAGAGCAATGGAAACCCCTGAGAAGCAAAAGAAAGGAGTCAGGTATGTGTACAAGTTAGGGTCCGGAAGCCCAATGCTGGAATCTGACCCACTGACCACAATAAAGAAGGCTGCATCACGTAGTTGGGTACTCAGGAAATCGAAAACCTATCAGGAAACCGACCCCGGTGGCCGGAAAACGGTGGAGGATGGAGGACATAAGGTGATGGAGGCAAGAAAATCAGTGTGCAGTGAGGCCAGAAAATCAGTGTCACACGTGGAGATGAATGCGGCGTCGGTGGCTTCATTTCTTCAGGTGAAGGTTTTGGTTTCAGACATGCCGGCGTTCATGCAGGTCCATGCTTTCCGGTGTGCAAGGAGGACTTATGATAGTTTGGAGAAATTCAGTTCTAAGCACATGGCTTATAACATGAAGAAGGTAGTCAATTATTTTTGGTTATTACTTATTGAGTGCTATAAGAAATTTTCCATAATGACAAATGACATATAAATCTGATGTGTGTGTGTGTGTGTTTCCTAGTGTAGGTTTTTTGGATTTTGCTTTGAATGATTCTATTTTTGTCCATTGGGACCTTGAGGAAGGAGATGAGCCATAGATAACTAGAAGATGAATTTTATTACAATCTCGATAATTAATATTATTCATAAATACGTGTATCTAATCTTTTTTAAACTAAGCAATGTTGAGATTCTTGTACATCGGGCTGATATACATATGTGTGTGCATGTGTCCATATATGTTTTAAGGTTGCTGGATAAATGTTTGTGATACAATGAGTTTCTTGCCATTTCTTCTTGGATTTTGTTTCTTGAATGATTGAAACTTTTTGAGATGGGAGTCCATAATCAAGATATGAGACAATAAACCAGAAGACCTTTCAGCCTGGATTCTCTCTCTCTCTCTATCTCTCTCTCTCTCTCTCTCTCCATGTTGCACACATGTGCATACTGGGCAGCCAATGCATGCCATCTGATAAACAGATCTCATTATATTTTTTTCTATATGGTCCTAAATAATTGCTTGTCCAATAAAGCAGTTAGGTTCATTGAAGTTGCAAAACTTGAACAAGCCATGTGTATGACAACACCCAAAAACTTTTCCCTAATCATGTGCTATTAAACAATTTCTATTCCCCTTGTCAGCCCACGTGTACTACAAAAGCAGGAATACAATCAAATTACTATTTAATTTCATCCATAATTATGCACTAATTATCTCGAAATGAGTGTCATTAGGACATAAAAATTTACATAATATCGTGACATAATAATGTGTCTCATTTCTCATATCTCGTTCTTTAGGGTCCTATGACTTCAATTGCATCCACTTCTTAGATTTGTCTTTACGTTTCTCCTCTATTATAGATAGTTAATTTTAAATTGTAATAGACGATTATTTCTTGTAACGATAATCATTAAGATCATCTCAGCTGACTCATAATTATGTTAAAAAATTATTTCAGTTTATTAGATTCTTGTCGCATTATTCTATCAAAAAAATAATCATGTTTCTCTCTCTACCCATCTCTCTCTCTCTCTCTCTCATATATGTACACTTTTTTGAACAGGAATTTGATAAAGTGTATGGACCGGCCTGGCATTGTATTGTGGGCTCTAGCTTTGGATCATTTGTGACCCATTCAACAGGGTGCTTCCTCTATTTCTCAATGGAGAAGTTGTACATTTTAGTGTTCAAGACAAAAGTTCAAAGAGCTATGGAATGAATTTACCATTAAAAACATATAGATTTTTTAATTTGAATACTAAGCAAGTGTTGTCATAGTATCCTTTCAAGTTTTTGTTTTTGTTTTTGCATTTTGTATTTTGTTGTCAATTGAAAGATTATGTATTCTCAAGTTTGTAAATGACAAAATCAAAGAGTGGAATGAAGTGTTACAAGAATGTCTAGTTTGTGATATAGTAGATTAAGGCTTGACATTTGGCCTGTACATGGCCCAAAATCCCGACTAGACGACATGGGCCGACCCACCTGTTGGTTGTAGTGTTCCAAATATAGTAAAATCACTTATTGAAATTTCTGAACTGTAGAACAGTAAGTGTGAACTGTAGAATAGTTGCTCAAAACGAAACAGTTACAGTAAAGAGTTACACATAAACTTTTTTCCTAACTAATATAAAATTAACCCGGTTGCAGAATAGGAACTGTTATTAAACTTTGGGTAGATCAAGGCTAGTGTTTGACACTATGTCTTTAAGACAGATTTCGCCCCCACACACAGTGCTTATGAAATACCAAGCGTCTGCTTCCCAGAATACAATAATCTTTACACGAACAGAAGTAGCACTCCAATTGCTCGTCCAGCGAACCAATATTGTGTTGTGTACAGTCTAGATGCTTTAATGCCGAAATGCAGACTGTTTAATGCCTTAATGGATTGATTAATTGAATTAATAAAATGAATGCATCAACTGGGTATTTATAGATAGTCTGGTGACTGTTCGGACAGCCACCATACTAAAAGACACAACCCAGAAAAATAAAAAATCGACTAGCCAGTGGACACCTCGAACAACTGTTCTTCATGAACAGTCACAATTCAATTTCGGACTGAAAAACCGACCCAATGCGATCTAATGGGTACCGAATTTAAATTTTGGGTTAAGAAATTTTCGCCAATTAATTGAATGAATTTTATCCAAAAAGATAGGGCTTTGTCTAAACCACACCGGTGCCCGAGCCCGGCCGGGTCGTGGTGAGACGGGTGGGCGGCACGCGCGCGTGCGTGTGGTTGAACTGAAGGCATGTAAGTGCTCGCTCCGCTCATAAAACTATGATACCCCTTGGGGCCCAATCCCATAGGGCAAACTTCGCCTATATATGTTCATGTTAAATTTCTTCCTCAACCAATGTGGGATTGATGTCACATCCCACATTGCACTTCCTTTATTTTCATGTTTCAAGAGGGTCACTTTGGAGCCTATTTTTTTATTCATTTCTTACTCAATTTGAGCAAGTAAATATACTACATTATTCTCCTCACGGAATAGAATATGAACCATCGAAATTTTATTTGAAATAACAATTAGGTCCCACTTTAATTTAGGCTCAAAATTGACCAAAAACTCAATTTTTACACTCAAAAAACTGTTTTGGTCCAACAATCCCCCACATGAATGGAGCTTTGGCTGTTAGTATGCAAATGATAATGCTAACACACTATAGAAAATACATATTTGGAAAGATCGTGCATCGAGATAGGTAGTTTTTGATCTTGAATCTTCCCTAGTGAAAATTCATCGAACTTACCGGCTAAATAGTGAACGTGATGTCTTGAACTATTCAGTTGTTTGATAAATCAGATTGAATAGACTTCACACAGTCTCTTCTCTAACACAATTGATTTTCATGATTGTGTTCATTTTGGCCCTGAACAACTCCTGATTTTCATGAGTGCTTTAGAGAATTCAGCTTTTACAAATTCTCATAGAAGCGGCCCATTCACACCCACATAGGTGACTCCTATTAGGAATATCCTGCAATATCCCACTTGAATTTATCAAAGTATAAAAGTCATTAAAAGCATAGCTTACCCTAATAAACTCTGTAGGCAGCACTAGTTTATCATATAAATAGGTAGGAGATATTATCTCCTTCGTGCTTTTTTTAATCACGCATAATTCGGTTGACCCTTTAAACCTAGATCTTAGGATCTTCAATCAACTAGGTTGGGTTGCCATTAAGGTGACTCTTGTGTCATAGGCTTTAATCTTATTTCTCTCGATGTGCAATTTACTTGCTCTCTCGTCAAACCTTTAGTAAGCGGGTTTGCTTATTTCTATTGATTATATAAAATCAAAGGATAATCTAGCGGATCCGCTTACAAAAGGTTTGACAAGAGAGTAAGTAAATTACACATCAAGGGGAATGAGATTAAAACCTATAACACAAGAGTCACCTTAATGGAAACCCAACCTAATTGACTGGAGATCCCAAGATCTAGGTTCAAAGGAATAACCGAATTATGCGTAATTCAAAAGAAGCACTAAGAAGATAATATCTCCTACCTATTCATATGATAATCTAGTGTTGCCTGTAGAGTTTATTAGGGTAAGCTATGCTTTTAATAACTTTAATACCTTGGTAAATTCAAGTGAGATATTGTAGGATATTCCTAATAGGAGTCACCTATATGGGTGTGAAGGGGCCGCTTCTATGAGAATTTGTAAAGCCTGAATTCTCTAAAGCACTCATGAAAATCAGGAGTTGTTCAGGGCCAAAATGAACACAATCATGAGAACCAATTGTGTTAGGAAAGAGACTGTGTGAAGTCTATTTGATCTGATTTATCAAACAGCTGAATAGTTTAACACATCACGTTCACTATTTAGCCGGTAAGTCCGATGGGCTTTCACTAGGGAAGGCTCAAGGCCAAATTCTACCTATCTCGATGCACGATATTTTCAAAGATGTACTCTCTATAGTGTGTCAGCATTATCATTTGCATACTAACAACCAATTTTTCATTCATGTGCGTGCTTGTTGGACCAAAATAATTTTTTGAGTGTAAAAATTGAGTTTTTGATTGATTTTGAGTCTAAATTAAAGTAGGACCCGATTTTTATTTTAAATAAAAGTTCGTGGGTTCATATTATACTTCGTGAGAAGAATAATGTAGTATATTCACTTGCTCAAATCAAGTAAGAAATGAATGAGAAAATAGGCTTCAAAGTAACCCTCTTGAAACATGAGAAATAAAGGAAGTACAATGTAGGATGAAACACCAATCCCACATTGGTTGAGGAAGAAATTTAACATGGACATATATAGGTCAAGTTTGCTCTATGGAATTGGGCCCAAAGGGGTACTACAGTTTTATGAGCAAAGCAAGCACTTACATGCTTACGGTTCAATTGTACACTTGTGCGCGTGTCGTCCGCCCACCTCGCCATGACCCGACTCGGCTGAGCTCGGGCTCGGGTATGGGTGTGGTTTAGACCAAGTCCTATCTTTTTGGATGAATTCATTTAATTAATGGGCGAAAATTTCTTAACCCGAAATTAATGCGGTACCCACTAGATCAGTCTGAATTCAGTCCGAAATTGAATTATGACTGTTCATGAAGAACAGTTATTAAAGGTCACCAGACTATCTATAAATACCCAGTTCATGCATTTATTTTATTGATTCAATTAATCAGTCCATTAAGGCATTAAACAGTCTGTATTTTGGCATTAAGGCAGTGCATCTAGAGAGTACACAACACAATATTGGTTCACTGGACGAGCAATTGGAGTGTTATTTCTGTTCGTGTAAAGATCATTGTATCCTGGGAGGTAGACGCTCGGTATTCCATAAGCACCGTGTGGGGGGCGATATCTGTCTTAGGCACATAGTGTCAAACACTAGCCTTGATCTACCCAAAGTATAATAACAGTTCCTATTCTGCAACCGGGTTAATTTTATATTAGTTAGGAAAAAAGTTTCTATGTAATTCTTTATTGTAACTGTTTCGTTTTGAGTAACTATTCTACAGTTCACATTTACTGTTTTACAGTTCAGAAATTTCAATAAGTGATTTTACTATATTTGGAACACCACAACCAACAACCTTGATTGGGCTTGATCAAAATTTCGTTTCGATCACTTAGGAAATAGAATGAAAAAAAAAAAATTTAAGAATTATTTTTTTAAAACATTGGTCGAATTATACGAAAGTATATTTAAATATCTTGAAATATTCTGAAATAATTATGCTAATGCTTTGAAACATTACAAAACACTTCAAAATATTATGACACATCTCGAAATATTAGAATTTCGATTTTATCACTGATTCGTTTTGATCTCCTTAAAAACAGAATTGTGTTGGATGTTTCGAATGTTTCGAAAACAAAATTTTGATGCTTGATAGAGGTGCTAAAATTCATATACAAATAAAAAAGATTATGTATTCTTCAAGTTTGAAAATGACAAAATCAAAGGGTGGGAATGAAGTGTTACTAGAATTTTTAGGGTAGATTAAGCCTCAGCATTCGGCCCGTAGATGCCAACGGACCAGAGGACATGGGCCGAGCCAATCTTGACCGATGGATAGAACGCTGAAATTCATAAAAAATAAAATGGATCAAATTTGGAAAAATAAAAAAGAAAAAATGAAAATTGGTACACTTAAAATGACTTATTAGGGTAAAAGTCTTCTACCTCGGAAAAAGTCTACTTTGAAGCAAAAAGTCTGGACTATTCTCGAAACACTGTTACTATTATGACAAAACAAATTGAGAAACCCAAATATAAACTCTCTCATTTAACGTCATCAGTTACCATGGTCTTTAAAACATGGACGATGGAAAGAAACTCCAACCGACGACCTCCATTGATTTTGTCTGTTTGAAATCTGGGAAAAAAATCCCATATATTTCATTAATCCATATTATCAGATTTTCTACCATTCACTCTCAAAATCGATTTCATCGAGTTGGGATTTCTACATAGAGACAGATGTTTTTGGTTAATAAAAGGGGTTCAAGATAGAGGTTCAAGCGAAGTCTCCTCAGCCGATTCTCTTCCCACTCAAGTGTGCCTATTGTTATTGCAAGATCAACAACAGATTAAAGTTTTGAGGGGAAAAAAACTTTGTCCAGTTTCTTTTTGGCATTAATCATTCCTTTTTAGATTTAGTTACCAAATAAAATTTCCATCAAATGGACTTTTTATTGTTTTCCATTATCAACATTGACCCATCTTTAATTAGATTGCATTTTAGGGGTAAGGTATCATATTCCCCTTGGTTAGGTTTAATCTTTTTTGGATATTAATAAAATCTATCCTTGTATCGTCAAGGTTTTATTAAAAATAATTTATTTTTATGATAAATAATTGAAGTCTTTTAAGTCACTCTTTTATGATAAATTATTGAAGCAATTATTTGGTGTC